GTATACAGCACTCAAGTCCCTGAAGAAAGTTTTGGCTCCATCGAGCAAGGCCTCATTTTCTGGACACACCACAATATAGGCGACATCCCGATGGCCCCCGTATGGGTCAAGCAATAGCCTTTCCCAGAACGGCAAAGAGAATGGAGAGATTGTCAGGAAGTCCTTGTCATAGCCGACTAGTAACGTTGGGATTGGAAGAGGCTCAGGAGATTCCTCAGAGCCTGTAAGGAAAAAAAAAAAAAAAAAAAGATGTTAACTCTCTTACCTGGAAAGGGCTCTCTATATCAGAGAATTGTGTTATAATCCAGGAATTGGATACTTCTAGAGGAATATTGCAAAATCACTAATCCTTTGCCATGCTCATCTTGTGGAAGCATGACCACACTATGAAGTATCGCACCTGATAAAACAATGCCCTTCCACAGCGTTTCTGCTTGAAAAAATAGCCTTTAATTAAGAACAAGAAACATCTATATTGTTCTTAGGAAGTGTCTGAAAAAGATTCAGTCAGCCAAAGTAGAGGAGGGAGTCAAGCAAAGCACCGCTGAAACTTTCCTAGAAAGCTACAATAAAACATTTTTCAGTGTATTGTAGATGCATGTATAGCCCCTCCTGAGGCTTCATCTTTAGAGTTTACAATGAAGAGGTTAAATTTTGTCTGAATGATTATACAGTCGTATTATTCCACAAGTGCCTAATTCTACAAAAAGCAGTAATGTGAATTCCTGAAATCTGTTTGAATGTTTTTTCATCTACCTCCACCTGGCTGTGCAAAATTACCAAGTAAAATGGTTAGGCAAACTTCATGGTTTGTAATGCTAAGCCAAGTTATCATTATGTAATTCTAAAAACTGGTCTTTGTTCCTTTTCATCACAAAAGCACTTGCTGCCACAGCTGACAGGATTCCCATTCAGCATATCCCAGACACGGGGCTCATTGAAAGAAATATGGTTGAAAAATACAAGCCAGGAAATACCCTAAGAGTTTCTGCAGAACATATTCCAACTTCATCAAAAAGTCACTATTCAAGAACATTACTAGACGTACATCTCAGGTCTCTACTTAGTATCTGGCAATTTCAGCTGCATTCGCCTGTAACAATTGGTAAATCCTAAATCTTTACATTAAATTTACAAATGCTGGAAAAAAAAGATTAGAAGTATTTCTCATGGAGCAGAACAGCTTTAGACTGGAACTGTAGTTACCACGAGTTCTCCTAGGCCCAAAGGAAAGCAGAGGATATCAAATACCAGTGCAGAGAAAATAATGAAGTGAAGTTTCTTGGAACCTAAGAATAAAACTAAGCAAGACCAGAGCAGCTGAGATTGCAATAAATTGCTGGGAAGAAAAAGAAAAGGGCCAAATGATATCTAAAGGTCAATCATTATTTTGCAAAGGTGCACATATAGTCTGCTTTGAAATCTGTATTTTCCAGAGGCATGACTTAAAATCAAGAAATATTTAAACTGAAGCCAATCACAAACTTCTTAAGGCTATGGAAAATATTAGAAGAAGTGAACCTCTTTGTGGTCCAGAAAAATGCACTTTTATTACAGGATTTGAGTCCTGGCCTAGAAAGCCTCTCTTCTCTGTTAACGATTTAGTGCAATTTTAACAGCTTCCTCTCTTCACATTATTTATGTTCTAGCTCGCCGCAGTACAAGCCAAAATATGGATTCAGATAGGGATTTGATTCTCACACAGTATTTAGGCGCTATGTAAATATGCCAGGTCTAGAAGGGTAAAACATTTACTATAATATCCAAGTATATGCTTTAAATGCCTTCCAAGACCATGAAAAGTAATCTGAGGAGCCTATTTGCTATAATGCATTTTCTGCAAGAAAGTGCATATTTGCATTTTCATGGTTCCAGAAAACCATGACTCTCCTTTAACTGCTGGTGTATTATAATCCAGTATATGTACCATAGGTGCCCCGTCCCGCCATCTTATGGAACTGCTGCCAGGTGAGCGGTCCCTGCACATGCTGGATGTTCTCCCAGGTCCTTCCCGTTCGCTTCTTCTGGATGGCGTCCTGGAGAAAGGGCTGGAGCGAGAGCAGCATGCGCACCACATCCTGGGAGGAGAGCATGCTGATGTCCAGGACTGCGAACAACAACGGAGCACCAATCACTTTCACTGAGCAAAAGCAAGAGTTATTTTGAGATGGCAATATTATTTGGTTTGTTGTTTCGTCACACTGTTCTTCGCAATGCTCATAAAATCTGCACATCTCTAAACTGTGTAATGATATTTAGTATCCTAACTCCATGAAAACATTACTGAACTACAGCAATTACAGTCCTTTCCACATACCTTTTATTAAAACCATTGTTCCACTCGGTTCATAAGCACGAGCGTCCTGAGCACTCATCAGGCTGCTGCTTTTCTGATGAATGTTCACACCCCTCTCCAACAAAAGAGAGGTCATAGTCCCTTCTCCCCTCCCCCTAAATACTTGAAGCTATTTTGCATATTTTCTTTGGGGTTCTGATTTACCACAAATTCTGCTGCAAGTTAGACTACAAAGTCTAAATTCTAAGGACAACCTGATTATTATTGTTACCTGTAATTTTTTAAAGCTTCCCAAAATCTACTTTATTCCTAGAATATTTTATGTGTTTCATCTCCCACACAAAGCTTAAGAAACTTGTGGTTGCAAGTTTCAAACAAATTTCTAAAAAAGGTCTGCTGTGACCCATACCATTGCTGTGAGGCCAAGAATGCACAGTGGCGCTTCTGACTAGGGCTTCATCTACTTTCCCACCAGTGGGGTTATCCACATATTGCCTGCCCTGCTCCAGGGCATTGAAGCACTCAACCCAGGAGTCGTTACTGTCTGCCTGCAGCCTGTCATAACTCCAGTTCATGCAGGGCAGCGGCTGACGGTTGTTGGAGGACATATAATCCAAGCAGCTCAGAGAAGTGAAAGGCTGTGTGTGCTGATTCTGGAGGAGCAGGAGGAGGCTCATTGGAGGTTCCTGGGTCCTTCTAGCTCCCTCTCCCATCTGAGGAAGCAGGTTGCTTTGACACATCATCAGTCGTCTTTCTGCAGCTTGGCCAATATCTGAGGTCTTGCCAAAAATATCCAACTCATCCTCAATGAAGAGCCCAGAGTTGTAACCTAATTTGCGGTTCATAATAGCACTAAATCCACAGGTGCAACGGTACTGATCCTCATTAGATGAATCTGGGATGTATAATCCCACATCTGCACCTTTAATATTCATATTACAGGCGCATATGCAACAGCTGTCAAAGTTACGATCTTTGAAGATGTTCAGCACAGAGTCTGAGAGAATCAAGGTGACGTAGAGGCTGTGAGCCTCCGGGATTGGCTGAACAGTGGCTGGCTCCACAGAATTAAGCGGTCGTGTCGTAGAAGGGGTAGACGCAGGTGAACCTTGATCTGTGCTGTCATATTTTACAGATCCTTGACCGCTTGCAGTACCCCCACCTCTAGGAGTCCTTGGAGTCCTGGGAGTGCGGGGGGTAGGCACAGAGAAGCGGGGAGTTGCTGGCGACGGCAGAACTCCAGCTCCGCTGTTGCTGGCCGGGGCGGCGCTGTTCAGCGTCACGGGGGTGTTCATCTGAGGAGTGCTCATCTGGAGATAGTCCTGATCGGCCAAGCTCCCAACACTAGGCACGTTGCTGCAAGAAATGCCCCAGAAAAATCAAATGGTACCCAGTCAACTAGCCGGGTTTGCTTCCTAAAAGATGCATTTTAAAACACAGGGAAGTGGTGAAAAATGCTAGGGTTCATTATAAACTATAGTAACGAAGAAATGTCTGCAGGTATTTTGCTCTCAGGCTTTTACATACGTATCTTTCACTTAAAATTTCAATTCTCATAGTGTGCACAGCTGTTCCTTATCAGTGCAATAAAAAAAATCATCAAGCACTTTACCCTTTTCAAAAATTATTCTCATGACCAGATTATTCAGATGTACACTAGAAGAATGAGAACATAATCTTATCAAGATAGTTCTTTTATCAAAAAAAAAATTATAAAAAAAAGGTTTGGGCTAAAAAAGAAAAAAAAGCAGTTTATATAATCTAAAGAGCAAAACAGTGGAAATTAAGAAAATATTTCATAGAGGCATAGAAATGCTACCACTAATATCTGATGAAAACTATGCATCTGGCCTTTGTTATACAGAGGCTTCGTGGAAGCCTGCAACTGCCAGTAGTATTTCAGATACTCAAAAGCAAATACTCATTTAGCAATATGCAGTCCACTGGACAAATCACAGGTTGAATTCAAAACTCCTAATCCAGTAAAGCTGAGAATCATATCTTTAGATCTTCTCATCACCACCATTTTTTTATACTTAAACTTCTGTCATTTTCTGCCAAATTTAAGTGACCAGAATATGTTTGCACTTTCCCATGAGATCTATATTGTCTCTAGAATGACTCATTACATCAAGAAACAGATAATCCAGGCTTATTCAAAAGAATAAGATGCTCATTTACCTTTCCTCTTTCCAAGTTGCTAATAAAACACATCTCTTAAAATGTGTTTGTTGAGTATTTTATACATTTTATTTCCTGATGCTAATACGTAAGAACATAATCAGTCTCCTGAAAAAAGAGTGGAAAAAGAAGAATTTTTCATGTCTGTCTACCCCTACCCTCTATTTTGTGTGTTATTTAAAGTATATTATTTTAAGGCACAAATATCATTAGCAATGTGAAAAAAGACCTTATTCCTTAGAATCAGTTATCTTGAATTGATGTATGTCCAACTCAAGGTAAGAGGGAAAAAAATGAGCAAAGGTCTGAAGGAGTTCTGAGTCTGAAGCATACTGAGTGCCTCAGACAAGTAAGAAAAGATGAACTAGAAACCTTGACTGGCAGTCACACTGTCAGAAGCCTGCAGTAATAATCTCCACTCTAATTGGATTATGCTGTGAATAAAAGATTTTTTTTCCCAACAAATACCTGAAATTAATAACAAGCTCGGGCCTGGTGAATCAGTTAGTATTATTAGGAAAAAAAAAAAAGAAAAGAAAAAGAAAAAAATGCTCCCTTGGCACTATCAAGGGTTTACAATTTCTTTTTTGCAATTCTTTTGAGAGCACTGAATTACCCTTTGGATCTGGAAAGAGACAGATTTAAAAGATTTAAAGACTGCTTTAAAAGATATAGACGACTTCTTCCAGGAGGGACTGCAGGGCACCCGGAGACAATTACACTGTCTATGCCTTTTAAGAGGTTTTATAAATTTAATGGTACAAATCATGGCTATCAATATCAATGGTATCAACAGGCTATCAATATCAATGGTATCAACAGGTATCAAGATCTCCAACAGTGTTTTTTGTTTGTTTGTCTTCCCCATAAACACTACTAATTTCTGAAAACTGAGGAATACAGGTTTCAAATTTAACAGGAACATCTGCACATAGGTCACACTCTTGCTACAAACTGAAAAGCCCTAGTATCTGTTTTTTTAATATTTAGAAAGAGCAAGATAGCATACATTTATTTCACCAGCATATATTTAATGTTGAATTGCAATATTTTCCTGTATTTTCCTGTATCAGAAATTGCAATTAATTCAAGTTGTTTTTACTCTGATCTCCAAGAAGTACCAAGCTGTGAAACTACATTGTGATAATAGCACTTTCAAAAAAATTGTTCTTGACGTGAATGTCTCTGCCATCAAAACTTTTTTATTTGAGGCAACAACACATTTAAAAGCTTTAAAATATATTTGCAGGTTATTTGATGGTGTTAGGACTTAGTTAAATATTTTTAATATACGCAAAAAATATTTTGATCAACTAATCACTTTAGAATAGGCATCCTGCAATACAGCACTTACTTGTAGCCATCTCTGATGAAAGTGGCTGCAGGTGGCAAAGGAAGTTGTTCAATTTTAGGAGGAACTGCCCAAGAAGGCCTGAAAATGCAGGCATCTGGTATCTTCAGAGGTAGGAGGCACTGACTCGGCAGTATCTTCAGGGGGGCAAATATGGAGGAGCCCACGAAAGGTTGAAATGATGGAACTTTGTGCACATACGAAAAGTCCTGTAACATCCAAGTGATGATGTTTACAACGGCATGGTAAGGTTGATCTTTATATTTAAACAATTATTTTTAATCCAAAATAATTTCACGCTTTTGAACCATACATAACTGCATTTTTTTTCATAATTATATCTATTCATCCCACAAAACATTCAGAACCAGCTTCTTCACAGAATGCAGCTGGCGCTTTTTAGCACACTGAGGTACATACAACTTTCACTAATATGAGAACATTCCACAATTATATTATTCATTTAAGATTCATTTAAGATATGAAATGTTTGAAAATTAAATGGCACACTATGAGATATTCAGATTATGTAACTTTAAGCACCGAATATAGGCACTTAAAAGCTGATGTTTGAAGGACTTCCATACTGATCACAGGAAGGCTCTCTGGAATCGCTCTCTGAAAAAACCTCACGTGCCTTAAGTCAGCCTCTCTGAATAAACTCCCTTTGGGAATTAATATAATCCCATTAGTAAAAGTGGATTCTTATCACTAGCACCGTTTCAAAAACCACATTTAAAGCTACCCAGTCTGGACTTTAAGCGACTGTCTTGCGTTTATTTGCAGAGAACCAGGACAAAAACTTCTATTTCTAAAACTATTCAAAGTTTCTTTCATTAGAAAAGAGCTAATCCTTTTGAGACACTACTACAAAGCAACAGTATTTATTAAAACAGTAACAGCAGGCTCAAATTTCAGGATTTAGTATCTCGCTAGACCTTGACATGTTTCCCCTTGTACCTTGTTAAAGCATTGAGATGAGGGATGTGTGGATTACTACCTCAGCTGCTGAATACTCAAGCCCAAGAAATGTACTCGCATGTTCTCAAAATGATTAGCAATGGGTTTAGGCGCTTGCTTCCCATCAGTGCATATGAGCAGGTGCAACACACTTAAAAGCAGAGTAAACTGTGCTGTTGGAAATGTTATCAGGCTCAATTAAAAATATATTTTAATACTAGTAAAGATGGGTGTTAGGGAGATTAAAATATTTTCACTGGCAATGATGCACTAAAATCTGTCCCCCTCAAAAACTCTCAAGCTCAAGTCGCAAAGCATACTTTCTTTCCAGTCCCAAATTATCCTATTTACTAGGATATTGCTAGTCAAAATGGAAGGAAAAAGCAAATAAGCTCTGTGACAAGGGGAAGAGGGTTGCTCCATATTTCCATATAACATACCTCAACCAAAACATTTCAAACTTCTGTAATGGCAGCAAAATTGCAAGAAGATACAAAGTATACAAAGACAGTGGATAACTGTACACCAGCAAAGCTTCTAAAAAGATGCTTTTTCTTATTGTGCCTTCAATTTATCATGTTAAAACAAAGAAGAGATCTTGCAACAACAGAGCAGACTTTATACATGGCTAGCTTACCAGATGCTTAACTGTCTTCAGGAGGGCTACTCTGTTAACTCTGATTGCCTTCAGCAAAGAGCCTCTCCCTTCCTCAGTGGAATCCTTTGCAAGAGCTCACTAGGAACCCCGCTCCTCCACGGGCCCCACATCACTTGGCAGCCTTGCGAGCTGGCAACTCCCAGGTCACACTTTCTCATTACCCGAACACCAAATGCTTGAATGCAACAACCTGTCCTATTTTCTCCCTAGGTTATATTTGAATGTTTTTAGGGGGAACACCACTGCGTTGTTTGCCTGTGCTTTACCCTCTGTCTGCCTAAGTTATATCATTGCTGCCATACAGGAAAATTTACTAATTCAAAGCTAAGTATTTTATACCCAGATTAGATTGCATATCAGTATTCCCAGATCAATATAGCCACTTCTTGTCCATGCAGCTGCAGGTGCTGTATTGTAAATACTGTATCTTTGTATATATGGCTCACTCAGCTGTACAGATGCTTAGAAATCAGGCCTCGGCTAATTCCAGCCTTTACAGGAGAACAATATGAAGAGGAGTGTAAGGGTCTTGGGAAAATAAATGACTAGAAATATAGAAGTAAACAGGCTGTGGGGGATATTGGACTAAGTGGGCTTGAAGGAGAAGAATTGGACTATAAAATGTGTTGGGGACTACCACGAAGACAGAGTTCTCATGTAGATCTCCAAGGAAACGTTCATTTTTAAATAAACAATCCTCAAGTTATACTCATGGAAATATGATAAAGATAACGTCTGACAAAAGTGACAGAAACTGGCCAAAAAGTAAGTAATGCAGAGTACACACAGTCAGGCAGAATGACTTAACCTACCTGTTAACGTGTGCTAACGATGGAACAATGAAATACATATCAATGCAGACTAGGTGCTTATGTTAAGTCCTTTTATGTGATGCTATGAAAAAATGGATACATCTTGATATGTAAGCAGGGGAGGTGAGTACTAGTACCCCATAGCAGAGACCCCATTGTAAAATATTTCTTCATTCAGAAACACTATAGGGCTCAATATAGGAGTAACTATGTGACATTACCTGACCTGTGTTATACAGAAAGTCAGATAAGAATGGTCCCATCTGGCCTTACAACTTGTGAAGTAACATCAGCTGAAGAAGAAACAGAGCAAGTTTTCAACCCCTGGGCTTTCTCAGTGATTTTCAACCCTAACCAAAAAAGGCAACATTTCAGAGAGAAAAAGGCAGCCTTTCTACATGCATGATTTTATCCTAGTTCTGTCCCAGAAACTGGCAACAAGGAGTGGCTATACGTAAAATGTGCTACAGAAAAATTATCTGAAGAAAGCATTTAAGTACTACATAGTCACAGGCATGATGCAGTTCATACAAATACATTATTTCTGCCAAGCAATAGACTCACTTCATGTATAATATTGTTTGGTTCCTGAGAAACCCAGAAACATTACAGAGTTATACCTATCGTGTGAGACAACACAAATAACTGTAGTTAAAACTAGGGAAACAATTAAAAAACTGTTTTATAAAGAAGGATTTTGTTTTTCCAACTAAAGATTGATACATACTTTATAGGGATCCAATTCACATTTGTTAAAGTAATCTGCTGGCATCCTACAAGTTACATGTTTATAAAAAAGCATACAAAGCATATGTAGATAAGGTTACAAGACAGTAACATCTTTGGCCCGTTACCTTAATTTCTTCAGGTTTAGGGCTACCTAATCCATCTTCCACCTCCATTTTAAACTCAGCAAGCTGCGTTGGAACCATGTTGACCATAGGACTTTCCATCATTCCCAGGGCAGTCACAGTCTCGGAGCTTATTCCATCTTTGTAATTCATTACAGGGGAGAAAGCAGGATGTTGCTCTAAAGATGGTGGTGTTGGGAACATCCTTTGGAGATCTGCCACAGCTAAATACAATCGAATAAGCCACTGTTAATAATTAAAATATAAATTCTCAAGTAAAACCAGTAAAACAGTAAAGATCAGCTTGGCACTGGCCCTTATTTCAGTTGTTCACATCTAGAAAAGATTCAACAGATTTGCTATGGTTCTGACACTGGTACAGACTTAGGCTAAGAGTTAAGGATAAATTCCAACAATTCCTACGGATGCTTTGCAAACTCATTGTTCAGTAGCAACAAGGAACTGCAGAACACACAGATGTAAACATAAGAGTTTTAACAAACATTTTCATAATAAAAACATTAATTGACATTAACAAAGTTCACCCCAGCAACCGTTACTAAGGAGATTCAGAACAATTACTCTCCTTTTCTGGAATGCCACTGAATCCCAAAATGGCTTGCTGAACTTTTGTGCAGTTAGCTGTGTTTTTTCACTGGCCTACAGTCACTGTAGTGCAGTATTTGGTCCATGCTGACAAAACCTCAGAAAAAGACCACTGTTGCTGACACAAACATAGGCACTTTCGGGTGGATATTAGAATGCCAGGCATCAGAAAATCACAAATAAGCCTCAGAGGAAACTTCAAAATAAGAATTTTGCACTACTAGACACTAAGACCGGAAAATCCCTAAATTACCTCTCAATAGAATTAATATAATATAATCATTCACCAAGTTTTTTTTTTTTTTTTAAGAAAAACAGAAAAGCTTAACAAAGTACTACGTAGTATATGCAATCAAACAGAAGTCAGAATTTTCTTCCTGGTTATATTTTCTCTCTTTATTTTGTTTAAAATTGAGAATTTATATTATCTTTTCTTTACTTGAATTAGGACGGATATCCTCCTGACTTAATGATCACTCTGGAGAATTCACTGTTAAATTACTCAAATTAGAGAGGGGTGAACTCCCCTAGGTGTCTCTTCTGAAGGAGTGATTCTGACAGACTCAATGCTCACTTCCACTCCTGCACACACACCCGGCCCTAGCCGGTAAGGCGCAAAGACATCCCGTTTTGCAGTAACTCCTGCAGCCTAAAGATTATGAATAATGCATACGAACAGAGAAGAATATCTGTCAGGAAAACACTGAGTTGTAGAAATCAAAACTCATTGTTGAAGAATGTTGCTAGCTTCTATAACTCATTGTGGAGGACAGAAATAAGTGATGAAATTAAAATTACATACAGTATATGAGGACATTCATATAGTAGTGAATGTATTCATATACATAGTAGTTAAAAGTACATTTTTGTAGGATGCTGCAGCTTCAATTTCTTTCCCTGCTCTGCCTTAACTGTACAGTAATATGAAATTGATTCTCTCATCCACAGAGATGAGACAGCTGGTTTCCTATTTAGTTCTTTATATGGAGTGGAACAACTTGAATAGGAGAGATCCTCCTGAAGCAGGGTGAAAAATATCCTGATATTGTCCTGATACAAGACAAGCAACTGTTGAAAACTTGGGATCTGCAGAACGAAAAAACCTATTTTCCACCAGATGCTAAAATGAAGTACAATCTACTCCTGATTGCCATCTGGATCAGTACTGCCTCTGGAAAAGCAAAGAGGGTTCGAATGAGTGTAGCCAGTAGAGCTTTGCTATGATGTATGAGGCATTTCAGTTCCCTGCAGATACAGTTATGCCTCAAAGATGGTGTCGAAGGGAGACAACTACAAAACAAACAAACAAAAAAGAGGGTCTCATTTAACTTATTTCATACAGCTCTGTAGTACATGGCTTTCTCACATTTGCTAACCTCCAGTTAGCAAAGTTCTGCAGAGCAGGTTCATTAAAAAAATAAAAACAAAAAAGTGAAGAAAGGTTTAACTACCCCAAACATCCAACCCTTGAGCAGCTGACTAACCAGCATTATTCACTTACATGTCCTGTCTGAAAAAGGATTGTGTATTTTAAAAATGGAGCAGCTAAACCTGTCAAAATCCAATCTCAATATACTTCAGACTTGCACACTTGAGTAAATCAGCACAACCTTTATGGGTTCATAAAACTCTGATTCATCTCCTTGACACCATGTTTTTTCCCCTCAATTTGTTCTCATTACCAGCTGAAGTTAATGAGAAGGCATTAAAGAAGGATTTGCAGAGAAAATTGACTTCTGTTTATAGCAGTCACAGGATCAAACATCCTTCCTTCTCACCACATAATCCGCAATTCATAATTTGGTTGGTTAGTATCATATGAAAAATTCTCACCTCCTTCCTCACACACACGTGAACACGCACATATATGCTCAAAGAAATGTGATTATGTAAATAATGCTAAAAGAATTATGTCTTTCAAACCTTAAAAGTTACCATTCCAAAAAGTTGTTGGCACAGCCCTTATAAAAAGATATTATTCAGCACCTTCCAGGTGCTACATATGTAATGGCCTGCACCAGCAATACTCCTACCATAAACATCCCCTCCATAAGGGGTTAAAATCTATGTTCAGTGAGAAGTTAATACTTTTATTCTACTCATATACTTCCATACCTAGATTAAAGCCTGAAGGTGGTTTTAGTCTGAAATTGTCCTCTGTTAAAAGCAGCTTCTTTCTAAGATAGATTGAACCATAAAGGCCAAGTCGTAAGTCACAGCTTTAAAATCTGAATAGCTGTATAACAAAGAATGGATATATTTATACTTAAATGGATATGGCAATGGTATAAGTAAGTGTCTGAGATTAAATACTGAACTGAGATTACAGGGATAGCTTCTAAAAGAACTGTAACAACTCCCTTCCATGCTTCCAATCAGAGGCAATAATGCGAGAACACTAGCATCACAAATCTCAGAAGGCACATTAAAAATATGTCTATATTACCATCCACTGTTTCACTTAAAGCCAACTTATCCTTGTTTAATACTGGCATCTAGGAATTACAGAAGAAAGTAAGCACGCTAGCTCTTGACATTACAAGTTTCTTGCAAAACAGTTACTAACTGCTCTACTAACTGTTTTGCAAGAAACTTGTAATGCTAATTTTAAATAATTTTAATAATAAATTTAAATAATTTTAACTGTAACCAAAGTGGTGAGCAGTTGTTTCTACTTACTTGGTGGATAAGGTACTGCTGTTCTACCATCCTTCCCTACAGGGCGTTCCTCAGACCCCACTGCAGGTGTTTTTGATGACCGAAGAGCTGGTGATACAGCCTAAAAGAAAAATCATGTAGCATATTAACAGAAAAAAAAACTCCAAAACCCCAGAGAATTCTAAAGCTATTAAAATTTTTGAAAGCTCTCTGAAAGAAACTTTTCCATTAGATTAACACATTCTTCCCCTCTCCTAACCAAGAGTTTTTATTTCCGTTTTCAACACTAAAATCAAAACAAAAAGCCTCTGAAATATTTGTACATTCATACAGATGAAAACACACGCATGCGTATATATATATATATATATACACACCCACGAATCATATTGAAAAAGTCAAAGCTAACATGGAGCTTGAAATGAACATGACTACACCACCTGCTTCCAGGCTGGGGCACTACAAAGTGATACTGAGAAAACAGCATCAAGGGTAATGCTGTGTGGGTAGTGCCGTGGCCACCACAGACAGACTGCTACAGCGCACAGCTCAACACATGGCGGGTTTCAAGACCAGAGGAACACAAGGTCTACCCAAGCCAGCAGCAACTGCACACAAAAAGGTGAATGTTTCCGTTTTGACAGAATGCTCCTCTAGCAGACTTGCATATTAGATGCAATATCTTAGGTGTGGTGTGTGTAAAACCATAGCACAAATAAAGAGACCTAAGGATTCATTAAACATAGTTAACAAGCCCTGGAGGAGAGCTAGTAAAATAAAGTTCAGCCAAGAAACAGACGTTAGACCTTCAAACCATATTGTCTTCATCAGTCAGTTCAGGATCAGCTTCTGTATCATTATGGCTGGATTAGATTAAGCTTAAAAACAGTAATTATTCTCATCTTTGGCTGTCCACTAGCTTTGATGTAAATCAAAGTAGTAGAAGTTACTTGATGTAAACCATTTTTTCCTACTGTATTTTATAATATTCAATGAACTACTACTCTTTGTAGAGAAACAAAGTAGTTATGGGAACAGAAAGAAACAGCAAATTACTTCAGAGTGTTATTTCATGGAATGATTGAAATATAGGAAGTTAAATGTATTTTTCTTTGGGCAGCTTCTCAGACAACGCAAAAGTACATATCCTCAGTCAATAAAAGTAACATACTGTTCCATAGCTCACAGAAAAACACAAAACCCTGACAAAAGCCAAAGACTACAAGGTAGATTTAATGCAACTCGCATTGCTTTTCCTAAGGAAACACTCTTACAGCCGGGCTTTTCAATGACTATGAGAGAAAGTCAGTGGCAGTTTCCTTAGAGCATACTGGTTCTTCTCATAAATGGAAAAAAAAACCTGTCAAACAACACAAGCTTTGCTGTTATCTAGGGTATCACCTAATCTTTCTGAGTTTTATACAGATGGTTTCTCCTGGAAGAGTGTCTTAAGGATATCCTGCACTCACGTCGTGCTAGGTACACGTGCAAGCCTGCCTACCTGGCAGTGCTCTCTTCTATCTATTAGGGAAGACTGCCCACTACTAGGATTCCAACATCTTTCTTCTTCTTTGCCACAGTTTAAATCTACAGAACATTCAGTCCCACAAAGACTTACACCAAGCTCATCTTCATCTGAATTATCAAAGATATTATCTAAATCATGAAGTGATGGAGCCAGATCTGTCACTTGTGTGAGGCTACCAGAGCCTACTCGGCCTGCAGCATTGTCTTGCCGGGTATCTATCAAAACAAAGGAAAAAGAAAAGGAAAAAAATGATCAGAAACGGGAGCAAACATAGCAAACAAAATCGTGTCTTTACTTACACTCATCACTGTAAACAGGGAAGGAAGAGGAATCAGTGAGGCCCTTTCTCTAAGATGTATTCTGGAAATATCCTTGCTGAAGTGGAAACTCGTGCTGAAGTTTTAGTCAAACACCAAAAGCCAACCAGGAAAGAATAAACCCAGCTACTGCTCAACTTTTTTTCTGCTTGCCCTTTTTAGAATAAGATAAATACTTTTCTTTTTACTATTTTTATCCAGCTCAGACAGTTGTCTGCATATCCCATGTCACAGAAAAATGTTTAGTGTGAGACTTTTCTTTGAATATTTTAATTTTGCAGAGTGAATAAAAAGCTTTTACTCACCCGTCTTAGGAGCGGAACTGAAAATAGACATGGCATCCTTCCCATCAGGCACTGGTGCAGAATGACCTGCTGTGGGGATGTCCTTGGTACCAATTCCATCTTCTGACTACACAGAGAATCCAAGCATATTTCAATGTAAATTTAAGCTATGTAAGAATAACCTGTCATATTAATAGTTTTTCTACACCAAGTCATAGGCAGGGCTCTTGATTCAACACTTTTGAGAAGCCCAGAACATTTAAAGTAGAAAGAAGGACAGTTATTTTCAATTTATCTACATGCCGGGAAGAATATGAAGTAATACTGCATATCAATAACAGAGGACTCTATATTCATCCATTAAGTTAGATAACCAGCAGAGATAATTAACATGCTCATTCTCTCTAGAAAACACACCTCCTAGAATTTTAAGTGTGGTAGCTATCTATAGGAACGAACAAGGAAGAAAAGTCAGATAATATATACAATATATATTGCCTATATATAATAAGTAGCATTACAATGGGTAAAATAAATAGAGAGGGGGAAACATGATACAGCTGCAGCAGCCAAGGGCTTAGGCATGAGGATCAAATCACTCTCCACCTCCATGAGGAAGAGCTCTAAGGAAATTTTCAAATTAATACTGTGTCCCTGTCACAAATGCACTCAGTAGAAGGCTAAAAAGGTTTTGCCCAAGGGAGGAAAGATGAATTTGGGCTGGAGAGATGTGAGCTTTGCAGGGAGGTGATATGTCAGGCTGGAGAAAAAAGAAAGAAGAATTACCGGGAAAAAAAAAAAAAAGGCAGCAAGTTCTTTCCTCTCTGCATCTCTACAAGTGAGCATAAGGCTTGAAATATTTTATTTCTTAGCTTGTGTCTGGAATCTGCTGCTGGTCAGAAGGAAGATATATAAACCAGCAACTACTGATTCAAAGATACAGTACTGCCAAACCGGAGCAAGTTTTTTTCCTGTGCAATAAAGAAATATGTATCCCTCTGAGTTTGATCTGTGGTGTAGATTTGTGCATTCCCAAGAGCTGTACTCTGCTGAAGTAAAATAACCGTAATAAGAATGTTAAAGACCTCAGATTTACAGGTTACCTTGTTCTTTTTCAAAAGATCTTTCTCAGCCCCAAGTTTGCATTTTTTATTGCCAGTGAAGCTGTACTTTATGTCACCATCTTCAAAAGTGTAAGGGTCACTAGCGTCTCCCAAGCCTTCCCCAGGCTGATGTGTTAGAGGGAAGGGGTGGGGATAGTTGAGCATCTGTGCTGGTTTGTTGTCTTCCAAAATTTTAAATCGTTTATTAGGTTGTGCTAAAAGCCTGAAAGTAAAGAAATAAACCAACAATGTCATCATCCTGAAACAAAACAAACATGCCTTTTGCAGCAAAAAACAAAAAAACTCTGAAGATCTGTAGCTGTTACACACGCAGCCCATATTCCACTCCATCCTCCTTCATATAACAGAAATGATGCATACATTTCCCTTAATTTCTCACTAGGTTGAGAACTTCTATTTTGGGACAACAAAAAAAAATATTATCACATTCTTACCACACAATTCTTCTCACATAATATAAATCACAATATTCTGAAGTGCACATAACCTTTTCAACCTATCAAACCACAAAATAATTACCCAAATTATTTTTGTCATAACTCAAAAATTCTTCCTCAATTGATTTTACTGTAATTATTTTCATTAACTACCCTTTGATTACGTTTTATTATGTGCAGTCTGAATGCAAAGATAATGCATCACATTAATTAAGCTTCCAAATTTTAGTGGTTAAAAAGATACATCTTCCTGAATATTAAAACTGCCTAAGTAGTTCATACCCTTCACTGAGAAAGACAATGAGTGGGTTTTTTTTTTTGTTTTTTTCCTATAGTAAGATTTCTAAGATAATGAACTGGGCTATTTTCAGGGGAAAAAAAGCAGGGAAGTTTGTTAGCATTTTTCAAGTTTCAAGCCTACACACACCGAAGTTGATACTAAGGCTACTATCAATTTCAAAGATCCCATACCGAGCTCACCATACTGACACCATTACAAAAAAAGTGGTATTTCATAACACGGTATCAGTTATTACGTTCGAAAAGTATGGCAAGGTGCAACTTCCAAACTACGCAATCGGATAAACGGCACTGAAGTGCCTGCATGGAGCCAAACCCGACTTTGTCTGTCCTCTGCCTTGTTAAAACCAAACATTGATGCAACTGCAGGGTTGCAAAACTGAACACAGATCTTATTTTTTAAAATACTCAGAAGTAAGCTTAATAAAAGCATTACACTTGCTCTAATTATTTTCATAGAGCTTACAAAAACGGATTTCTCATCTCTGCTAATGTCCCACAAAAAGCCAAATATTAAAAAGATGAAGAATACTACAATTTTAAATTTCTTTTAAAGTATTTAACAGCATTATAGAGTATCTTTAATGCTAAAACAAAGCCTTTTACTTACTGTAGAATTTTTATCTGGGAGTAAAAAAAAAAAAAAAAAGCTCAGAAACAGCTATTAAAAATCTCTTTCCATTAGTTATTTCCCTAACAATTATCACTCTTACACAAAACTGCCACAGCTAAACTCTGCCATTTACACCCACATCAGCCTTAAGCTTTTGAGGCTACAGGGAAGTGCATGGTTACAACAGAAAACAGTGTGGTCATGACTGGAATTTAATAAAACCGTGGCTCAAAACAATGTCACTTCCAACCTTTTCAGTGCTGTGCTGTCTGAGTTTACTTCCATCTTGGCATCGTATCTCTCACAAGGAAGATCTGGCGGTCTGAACTCTGGATCGTCAGTTGGTGGGACACTATAGGTCCTCCACATGTCTAACGAATCGCTGTTGTGAATTATCCCGCAGTATAATGCTGTCTCACTAACCTCTGCCATCAGAGGTAGCCTCTGTCCAACAAGAATTGTCCTATCATCCAGGCTGGGCAAGGGCTGGAGCTCCAGCCCGCTGCTGTAGAGTGCTGGGTTCACAGGGACTGATGGTGGGTCCAGATTCTCTGCTTCCTGACCTCTGGGCTGGGGGCTAAGTGTGGGAGGCAGGGGGGAAGTAGGGGAATGGGGTGAATCCATAGGATTCATGTTAATTTGCTTGCTTGGATTTCTAGCAGGTATAGATAGCGGCTTCTCATATTTTCTGGAGCTAGGGACTTCCAAAGACTGTTCTATTCCTGCTAATCCCAGTTTCTGTCCTGATGTGTCTTGCTCCATGCATAGCTCTTCAGTCACAGAGGGCCGGTGGTGAAACGGCATCAAAGGCCTTTTTTGCAGTTTATCTCCTTTATCCTGTCTTTCTGTTGTTTTGTGCTTTGAAGAGGCAGGAGGTGGCAACGACGAAGACGACGATGTTCCCACACTGAATCCCGGTGGAGTTACCGTTGGGGGACGGCTGGAGCCTGGAGCACAACGCTGTTTGAAAACCTTATGCCTGAAAGTGGAAACAGAAAACAAGTAATTGTATAAGGAAGGCCACCTGATCTAATTAAAAAAAAAAAAACCAACAACAACAACAACAGAGAGGAGCATCAGGAAATCTTATATCTATTCTTGATGCTTCCACAGCTTCCAGTGGTCACGCGGCAGGACAAGGCCATTCAGCCCAGCTTGGCTGCAGCTTCTCCTGCCTATAAAGTGGAGGATGACAGACTCCAGATAATGAAATTCTATGGAAGAAAGATTTAACATTTACAGAAAGCGTAGAAATGCTCAGATGGAAGATAATATAAAGAACAATGTATCAGGCTACTGTTGTTTTCATCATCTTAAAGAGAGATAGCCTTTCAAACAGACCAACAACTGTGGAACTACACTACTACTTTTGTACAGCCTGGCACATCTGTTGCAGAAGACAGGGACTGCAAATTAGTTATGTTCGCAGATGTGATACACAGCACGCTGCTTCCATGGCAGTTCCCTCCAGATCAGGTAAGGAAAAATAAGTATAAATGTAGTCAAAAAAAAAAAAAAAAGTAGCTATGAATTGATAAATACAGCAGGAAGAAATATTTTAAAATATTTCAAAACCCCAAATGCAGCAAAACATTATCGTTATAAGCTTCAGATTTTAAGATGTCTTTTTTTTCAGTTTATACCCAGTATCCTTTAAAATAGGAAGCACAGGGCTGAATTTCAGTATTTCAGGTAGTGCCAAACAACAATTTTGAAGTACAGAAGATGTTTCCCTGAGGATGGTACAGTAAAGATGTTTAACTCAAGTTTAACTCATCGCTATCACAATGAAATATAAATAATTCCATCCTATTTCTTTCTAAAAATCAAAATAACTAGAATAGAGCAAAATGTTTGTTATTATGCTTATCACAAACACAAGACAAGACATCTCAAGTTTATGTGAATGTAGAAAACCAACTCTGCTTTTATAACTTAGTTATGGAAAAAAAACCACAAATTTTGTAGTGGCTGTCAAAGGTAGTATCTACAACTTCATGTGCTTATTACTACATCTTTTTCCTTTCACCACCTACATGGTGTAGTATTTTCTTGGTTTGATTTGCAGGTTTTGCTGTTGCCAGGACATGCTGCAATTTCTCTGCCACAGCAGATGGTCTTTAGCTGCAATCACACATAATGCTGAGCTGATGCCCTAATAACTGAAGATTTGCCTTAAGCATGTTCTTAAACATTTCATTGATTTAATTCTCCATCATTCACTTTATTCTAACAGATCCCAGAAAATTAATTAAGACAGTCTGTTGTTCAACATACGAAGTTGGGTCTATAGGAGATTCAAATCGACGCAGAGTACAATTCTTTAGGAATCCACGTTATGATCGTATCTTGACATTTATACAGCACATACAACGGGCATGGTATAACTAAAACAATTAGTTTAGTTAGCCTTGAGTTAGCTGTCCAACCTTTGCAGCTATACAGAAAGCTGCATGGCTCACGTACTGCTCTTTGAAGTCAGGCACCTCCTTCATTTTAAACAAAATACTTTTGTTTCCTTGTTGCTGTGCTGGATTTTACTAACTCCAGGATGATTTAGTTATCAGTGGAGGTGCTGAGAGACGCTGCCAACTACAAATGCAACTGGACCCATTTACAGATTGAGGCTTCCATTGCCCACTACTGGCTTGCCACACTTTCCAAGAGAGGCTGGACCCCAGTTTTCTACAGAAAATGCATGACATCATGACAAAACATTTATCTGTTTCTCATTTTTGAATATACATACAAGTAACAAGCAATCAGGGCAAAGAGCAGACTGTAAGACACTCCTGCTTTGACACAGCACAGAGTCTGTCCAGATTGAACATTCTGCCCTCTGTATGACACACATTCCTTCGCATTCATTTCTCTCTTCTTCTAAATGCATAGAAGTTGAACACAAAGAAAGAAGTTGAACACAATATATAAAGAAGTTGAACACAAAAGGTACAAGGGTACAACCTTGCTTCATTCCATTTTGGACAATGGGAATTTCTAATCAACAACCTCCGAGTGGTCCTGAGCACACTGTATTCACGAATTTCTCTGTACAGCCAAATTTATTCAAAATGCAGAAAGCTCCACAGGGACTATACTGGCAGAGTGCACACTTAAGGATTTGGCTAGACAATGCATTCGTTTTATTACTAACATCATTATTCTGGAATTTGTGTAATTGCTAAAACAAAAAACCCACAGACATGCCTCAATCAGCCCAAAAGCAGAGGATCAGCTCCGCTGCGACACTGACCATTGTGGTGACTGTGATTGTAGCAAAGGCCCTTCTTGCAGTTGTGGAAAAAAAAGAAACAGGATACCAAAGTCATAATCCTGACAAGATCAGTATCTATACTTAGATCTGTGAATACTTAAGAAATAACTTCTTTATATCACAAGAAACATCTTTACCAGTCTTCTAATTAGATGGTGACCTTCAGGATTAAACATTTCAGTAGTAACACCACTGCAAATTACTGTTCTGGCCTTGCAATATCTCCCTGATAATTTTAAGTGTGTCTAGTAGAATTGATGCTGATGCTTGCTGTTCCTGCGTGAGTAGTACTGTAATTTTATGTAAGCATTTATCAAGATGATGGATGATTTAATAAACTCCTAAAATGTTTGTGCATGTGAGCTGTGATTTTTTTTTGACAGCAGTAGAGTATGCTGCAAATTCTACTGCCCCGGGTGTTTTGGGGTGTCTGATGAGAAATGGCAAACTGATCGGTGGTACATGGAGTAAATGACTATTATGGCGTTTTTCGACAGTTGTTGTTCTCCAAAAAGGGAGACCAGCTCTGTCTCTAGATAAGGAGCTCTGAAACATGACAAACTACCAGAAACTCTGAGCCAGCTACACATAACTTGTGGTGTGAGCTTCTGCCCACCTTCATCATGAGGATTATTTCTCCAGGATTTGGAGTAGGCAAAGGTAAAGGTGACAAAGCTCACACCTCTGGAAAACCTGAAGGATGAGTTGAATACAAGGAGAAATGTTTGTGTCATCCTAGTCCCAATTCTATCATTCTATATTATGCAACCATTCTTCTACTCAAATTGACTGCTACAAGCAGACAAGAGGAGATTCATATTAATCACCTAAATATGACTGACGACCACACTTTTAACGCTGATATCAGAGTTTACTCTTCTCCCAGCTAAAACATACCTCACTTTTAAAAGCATATTTCTGCCTGAATTAAAAAGAACTCTTTCAAAACAAGCCACAAATGTTTACTCTCTTCAAAGCTCACCTGGAACAAGAACAACTGACTCTTTGGACTGGATCTACAAAATCCCAAGAAACAGCATTACTAGGAACTTCCTCCTCCAGATTTGCAGTTGTAACTTGACTCCTCCTGAGGAAAAAATAAATTTACTAGTTACCGCATTTATAAAATAAAATTTTACAAATACATATGCATAAATACATGCTAGCCTAAAAAAAAAAAAAAAAAGGCAGATACTTCCGCCTACTTCACTCCTGAATATCTCTATTGAACAGCAGTTCTCTCTACTCAGTCTTAAAATTTATACCTTGATTCACATGGAGGGTATCAGCTATACATTAGTTATCTTTTTCAGGAGTCTGGGCATAAGAAGCAAGGGGCAAGCAATTTAAACTGAATCTGGAGAGGTTTATGACATGTCCAATGAGGAAACTGCATGGAAATAATGGAAAAATAAAGACTTTAGGCCACATGGGTAGCTCATGCTATGAATATACTTTAAATCTCCAAGAATATGATACTAACAGCTTCATCATATCCTTGGCGAGTAGACTTGTCCCAGTACTACACTTAAGAGTTCTAGGTATCAAATAAATACTACTTGTTCTTCAGCCATCCATCATTCAGTCTACTAACTACAACTGGATCTAAAAACTCTGCAATTGATAAACCAGAAAACACCTAGTTGAAGGCACAAACTATAAATATGTAACCTCAAAAACAGTCACAATTAAGACACACAGCTGCAAATACAATGGTAATACTGAGCACAGTAACAAATTTTATTTGATACTGCTGCTGTTCATCATTAACTTTGATCACTGGCAAAAGAATTCCATCAAGAATCTAAAGCAACAAAATTCTGGTTATCTGTATCTATTATGAATAAATAAAGCCATTGGAACTGCTCTCTTACTTGGACTGTGACCTGTTGAGAATGCACTCCTTCCAGACACGGTGGACCATGTGATTGTGAAATTTTGGGGTAATCTTGCCTGATTTCTTTGGACTGTGTACACTGACTGTCCTCTCCTGTACAGCTGAATGGCTGATAGTACTTTGAGAGCCTCCACTTTCTCCTGCAATATAAATTAAAGGTTAATGTTATCAGTGGTGTTAATATTCACATTTTATAGTTCTTCCATTTGACTTCAAAGTTGTTCATTTTCACACAAAAATGCTTAATGCATCATATGAGAGGATGAAACTATATTTAAAAGGAAGATTTGCCTTAGGAGTAACAAAAACGGGACCAGGAAGTTGAAAATTACGAATTGGTACATTTGGAATACAGTTGTATAAGCAGTAAACCTCATGGGAGATAACATCCTCTGCCTCTTAACTGGAGGTAGTTTAGAAAGTACTCTATAGTCCTGAATTGCACCACTGAGAAATATTTTCTGGATGGAGTTTTTTTTGCTTGTTTTTACAGCTTTTTTGAGGATATTGAAGTTACAGAGTCTTTGGCTGCAAAAAGATCCATATTGTCATATTATGGATGGTTCTAAAAGTAAGCAAGTGTATTAATACGAGATAATTTATATATATTATTTCAAAGAGCAAACCAGTTCTTTATACTAGAAGGTAAAACTTCACTAGAAAAGCAAGTGGATTAGTACAACACTAATATTCAAAACAGCAATTTCAACTCTATTTTCTTTCTATGCTTGAATTGAAGTATCAGAATCAGAATTTCATTGGTAGCCTCTTAAAATTTAAATGTATACTATTGCAGATGTTGTTAGTTAATTGCTAATACACACACTACTAGCAGAGTATGTGAAGTTCTCTCAGTAACACCGCATGTTTATCAAAGAGATAACAAATGAAGATGCTATTCCAAAATGTTAATAGTCTTAAAATTATGATCTGCATTCTGCACTTCATTTCTTTCTGCTTGTGATGCAGAAACCTTACTAGCTATTGTATAAGCAGATGTTTCTTTTTCTTCTGTGAAGTCTGTTTTCGGTTAGATAACTGAACCCTAGCACAGGCATCTTTAATACATGAGCTGGAACAGTAGAGGGAGCCTCAGGTTCATTTGGCCTGGTGACTTGAATATCCCTATACTCACTGGTTGGAAAAGTAAGAAAGCACATGCCACATTTTAGCAACGCCAAGTTAGTGTACAGAACACTTTGTCCTTCTGCTTGACACTATTTAATAAACCATAAGGATGAAGCATTGAGAGGATTAACTGCCCTATGCCACTGCTTCTAACACAGTAACTCTCCTGGTTTCTATCAGGTGACTTTCAAAATGCAACTTGTAATATTGCAGACAGGCCTTCTAACCCTGTAGCTGCTTTTTGCCTTCACTTGCAAGTTCCTTCTAGTTCGAGCTTCCCTTTCTTGAAGAGCCTTATTAGCAGAGCCTCAGTCAAAAACATAAGCCAAAAAAATAGAGCCACGGGCTTCTACTTCTACGGAAGCCCGTGGCTCTCAAAACGTTTTTCATTGGCTTTCAAATGCCACTGTTCACAAATACCCCTGTTTCTGAACTAGATAATTAATTTACAATAAAATGCATTTTGATCAAGTTCAACTGGAAGAAAGCTTCGGAATTAGCAAATCCATCCTGCTTTTCAAGTAGGAAATGTGGCTGACAGATTGAGCAATATGAATATTTTAAAAGATTCTAATAGCTTAAAGACATTCTAAAACAGAATCCCCCTGTGAGAGTGCACTAGTTCAACAGGAATCTGAAATATTTAAAAATAATAGCAGCTTCTCATATGAAGCTTCTCATATGAAGCTTCTCATTTTCTCATATGAAAATACACAAAGACACTGCAATGCAAGATTACCTAGAAGTCGATGGTCTTGTTTATTTTAACTGTCAGTTGCCTTTGAAAACATTATTCGAAGTAAATTTATATCTCATATTCTATATTGTTAATGGCATAATATGTATTAAAAACAGACAGAAATTCCATATTTTTTGTCTTTTTTGCAAGATGAATATTTCTGATTGTCTTCATATAGAGCATTAAGGTGCCTATATATTTAAAACTACTAATGGACAAGCAGTGGTGTCTTGTTTTCTTTCTTTGCCTGGAGATTGAGCCCCTGGATCTGACAGAAGCATCTAATAAAAGCTAGGCAAGCTTTGCAGCTCCCTTATGCCTCAGTGAGGGCACTAAGAGCATTCCTTACCCCCTATCTGGATGCTTACTCTCACAGAAAGCAGGAGGAATTTCATGTCTTTGAGACTTCTACAGCTCTGCAAAATTTGGCAGACACAAAACAACAAGTTCAAAATAGTACCCTTGTGTTTAGTTTGCAACTGCTTTGAATACTTTCACAAACAATGTTTAAATTCATTACTCTGTTGATGTACGTTGAATGAGAGATACTACCAGATGCTCTTTGATAAATGTGTACGGGAGATGCTAAGAGACTTCACCATTTCTTCGACGCTCCTGGCAGAGGAAGGCTGCCCAGCAGTGAGTGCACTCCAAATATTCTGTTAACGACTCAGGATAATCTTACATGAACTGAGAACTTCATTTCCAATACGAGGTAATTGCAAACGCTAAGACATGCCTGCCTGTTAAAGTGTTACTACTAAAGGTCACAAGGAGAAGCGTAGAAAGCTGGGGTTGTTTATGCTTGAAAAGGGAAGCTTAAGAGTCGATCGTATCAATTTGTATAAACACCTGAGGGAGAGAGTAGAGACAGACTCAGTGGCAACAAGTGACAGGACAAGAGGCAACGGCCATATATTGAAACACAGGAAGTTCTACTTAATCATAAGAAAAAAACTTTTTCCAATGCTCGAGTGGTCAGACAATGCCCAGAGATGTGGGGTCTTCGTCCTTGGAGACATTCAAAACCCGACTGAATACCAGCCTAGGAAACCTGCTTTCGGCAGCCCCTGAGGAGTATGGTGTTGAGGATCTCTTCATGCATTCTTCAGTTCTGCCAAACAACATGGTTGGTATGCAGAGAACTTCTGAGATTAGAACGAATATGAATTCAAATGCTTGAAATGGGCATATTCTATACAGATAAAATACACAACTAACCAGCAAATATTATACCACACTCCCTGTGTCTTCCTCAGATCACGCAAAAGCCTGCGTCAAACCAATGAAAAGCCTGTGTGAATTTTGAGAAGTTCAGCTTTTTATCACCAGTTCCAGAGGCTAGTGCATTTCTCCTAAATTGTCCCAATTAAGACCCAGATGTGTTGCATAAAAAGAGTAGTTGTCACTTACAAAGTTCTATTATATAATCATGAATGCTTACTGAGGTGTTGTCATTTATCTTTACGAGAACAGCTAATTATGCCTGCACATTCAGTGCAGTCTCGTGCAGCAATGAAACACTTCAGGAATAGGAAGAAAGCCTATTCTAGTTTTCAGGTATATGTACTACAAAGACGTTGTAGTTCCACAAAACCAAGCTAGAATGAATTTACCGTTTTTTATTTAAAGATGAGCTGCCTTCTGGGGTTGTTTAAAGCATAGGCCTTTACTTTCCACAGATCTTTTCACAGAAAAAGTCTAAACTTACAGTCTCTATTTTCTGTCTTTAATCTGCTACTGTTCACATATTTATCCTCACTAATCATGAACTGTAAATCATACAAAAATGAATGAAAAAAACTATGTAAAAACTCAAGCTTCTTAAGCTTATTGCGTACCCATAATGGCTTGCTCTGGAGAAGTGGGTGGAGTGAGTGGCATCCCACAGGTACTAGCAGGATCTTTCACACTTCCAAGCCCCTGCTGTCCCACATTTATATGGCTTCCAGTATTGGCAGCACTCTGTGACACAGGGATGTCACTCTGGGAGATGAGCACAAAGGCTGAAGGATACACCATCCGTACACCACCTGCAAAGCAATGGAACAACGTAAGTCTTAAACTTACAATATAATATTTAGCAGCCCCAGTCCCTTCATGTTGTTTTCAATTAGTCAAAGACCTAAGCAATTTCACAGACTCATAAAAAGTCGTCAAACCCTCTATAGCCACAACAGAGATGAAAAAAGTAGCCTGATAGTGTGAATAATAGCATGTGGGATACAGGGACTACAGAAGCTTGAGGCAAGATAACTAGTCTGATGTTCTAGTGTCAAGAGATTTACAAGAGAAGACAGGAAAATTATAATGGCTGTTTCTGATTAATTAGATTTTTTTTTCCTTTTTCTTTTTTCTTAATCGTGTGGAGAAAAATAATCCTTCAGGCAGAATACTGAAACTTACCAACAATGACTTCAACTGCCACAGGGAAATCGTTGTCATATCCCAACTCTTCTTCCTCTTTCATCCCTTCCTTTTTCTTCAGCACCATAGGGTAAAAATATTGCCATTCTTCCATCAATTTACGGGTTGCTGGGTCTGACATCTTATACGACTGGCCCGTCAGCGTACCATTTAAACCATAAGGACTCACCAAAACTGCAAAATGAGGAAACAATACTCCCTACAATATTTCAACAATATAAAAGCTGCACTATTAATAGAATAATTTGCAACTTAGCTCCATAAAACAAAACAGTAAAAAAATGAGTTATTACATCGTCAAATATGCAGCCATGGCTATTTGAATTTCTCTACTGTATTTTCCCCAATTTTACAAAAATTGGCAAGCTACACAAGATACTCCACAATTGCAGAACCTAACTATCTTTACCTGTGTAACACTGAAGTTATAGATCAGACCCGATGACGCAGACAGTTCCAAAACGACCTCAAAACGTAGGCTTACCTTGGAATGGCGAAGGGGAGGACTGTGCCATGTGGATGTGCTCTTCGTTTATCAGGTAGATTGGCTGGTGCTGAGCAATCTCCACGCTGGTGCACACATTGCTTTCCCCATGAAGAAAGAATGTGAAGGCGCACGACAAATGCTCACTGGAGGGAGAGAGATGGAACAGATTTATTGACATGTTAACTCACAGAAAGTAGAGGTTTCATTGCCTTAAAGGCCAAAGGCCACCTTTCTGTTTTTTCACTTGTGCCCATGGAGCACAGATTCAGAAAGTGATGGATAAACTGGTACCCCAGAATGACTGTCCTTAGCGGTCTAACAGTGTTGACGTGCCCTTCCAAGATGTGTTCTCCTGCTTGTTAAAGGGAAACCATTACAAACGGCATTATAAAGCAGGACTCAAGAAGTAAAAACAAAGGTTCAGAACGAAAAGGAAATTCTTCAACGCTAATTTTGCAATGGATTCTAGCTGAGCAGTGGAATAGGAAAGACATTTACCTTACGCTGCTATTACAGGAAATAAAAACACATGAATATCAGAGTAAATCAACAATGGTACAGAACAAACCAGGGATTTGCCACTGACCATTAAACATAACTTAAAGTGGACAGTATTTAAAACATTGCTGCTTTGTTTTAGCCTATTTCCTTTGTTTTCCTTGTCAAAAAACACACACACAAAAAAAAAAAAAAGTTTTATTGTATCATCTTAATCAACCGAAAGTTTAGAGGGCTGATGTAGCAGTTACGCAGCACCACGTCTGCACAGACCTCTGTGGTTGCTGGATATGGCACTGGGCCAGCCATAACATAATGATTGTTTTTAAGACAGCTCTTAACAACCTTTCTCAAAAGGAAATAACACAGGCAACTGCAACAATTTCATTTTAGTATTTAAGTCAACCAAGCGCTCTACTACTGTCGATTATTTTTAAACTGAAACCCTGATGGTCTAGAATGGGGAGCTGTTCTAATCTCACTAAATCTCTGAGCGATTCTATACCCTGTAATACAGGCTACCCTTCTGCCAGCCTCAAATACAAGTGCAATAAAAAATCAAATAGCTGAGAAAATCTGGAGAGAAAAAGCTCCTTATCTTTCATTTAAGATAAAAACTAAGACTTCCTTGCTGCTATCACCCTGGACTAAGAAATATTTTGCAGCAATCATTTAAAACTATGAAATAATTTTTTTTATTAGATTTCCATTTTCACAAGAGAAAGAAAGCTCAAGTTATAGTGCTCAATTATCACTGCTGTAGTCTTAAATTAATCATTCATTTATAGGACAAGCAAGGTGGAGAGAACAAAATGAGTCACAGATGCTGGATATTTATATCTGGTTATCCTGTGCCAGGAGGAAAAACAAACAAAGTAAACGTATAAAGAAAGGATTGCTGTTACTATAGTATAAAATGAAAAAAAAAAAAGCTTCGACTATATAATCAAAATCCATTAGATTCCTGGGATGATGGGATGATAATCCTTATTATAAAGGAGCTCTTCATAAAAAAAAGTGATGAGAAATCTGGTCCAAGATGAAGTGGGTATAATCTCTGCAAATAGGTGAGTGTGCAGCGGGTTAGCCTTTCCAAAGGAGACAGCGAAGCTTTGTAAAACAGTAGTGCCCAGCTCCTGTCTTTAGGATACTACACAGAAATCTCCCGAATCTCGACGTTTCGGATGGTGTAGACTGTTTGTCTGCTATTGAACAAGAGCAAAAGTGCCTTCTGGAGCCACACAGTGACTCTCTCAAGTCTCCTGCAAATTGCCCTGGCATGAACAAACCGTGTGCAATCTTACGCAACACACAGTCATCCATAAACACTGCCAGAATAAGAAAGAGGCAAAATACGACTTTAGAAGATGATGATTCATTTGTTTTTGCAAGGAAAGGAATATATCCCACTGGCCAGCGCCACAGTGAATTAATCATTCAGGTCAGAAAATGAAATTAAATAGCTTTAGATAAAAAAAAAAAATAAGTAGTCAATTACAGGAAAAATGAAAATATAATATGAAGTCTGTTTTACGCTCATGCAAATATTACAGATTATAAAAGAATAAAAACTAATTAAAAAAAAAACTTGCAATGAGTATTCCTATTCACTACCATCAGGAAAGGCTTGAATGCATAACCCTGGATCATTTCCAGCACCATGTCTGAAGTATATCGTATGCTCAGTTGCAACAGGAGAACCGATCCCCTGGACGGAAGCATTTTGCCGTGCCGGTCGGAGCGCGGTCGCCAGCCGCGAGGCGCAGGAGCTCCTGCATGAGGGCAGCGGCACCGCGCGGGCCGCTCCACGCTGCTCCTGGGCGGCCTGGCAGGGCTTGCAGCACCACGAGCACTTACATAAAACATATGCTCTGGTGCCAGACTTGCTGCTATAAGCTCGGCTTTCAAGACCAAAAATAATAAAGATCAAGGCTTGCGGACTTCCTATGCTCCTCATAAGCTTCTGGCAGATCATGAATAAAATTTTTACTTTAGTAACAAATAAGAACTTTGTTTCAAAAGCACAGTGGCAGCGCACTGTGATGTACCCCACTCAGGCATGCACCGCACAGCTTACTGACATTCCTGTCTTTAGGACATTTCACACAATTCCTTAAATACCAAGCAGCAAAAATCACTCCCGCTACAAACACAAGACAGATCTCTAAGTAAAACACATGCAGGAGAGCACTTAAAAAGTCCACTTTCAGAAGTTCACTGAGCAGTGGGACTTCACTTTTTGTAACCATCCAGCTCTACCTCTACAATTCATAAAACAGACAACGGATTTTGAAGTTAATCATTCCGCACGGCTTCCTACCTCCCTGACATTCCCAGCACCAGAGGCCACCAGAGGCACAAGAAACAGCTTCCAGGCTATTCCCACCTTTTCTGCACCCTCTGTTGGACTGTCAACTTGAGCTGTCAACTTATCTGTTCAGAATAAATACGATAATAAAAATACTCGCAAGTTTCCACACCTGCGTTATATGCTTGCTTTGTATGAATTAATGGATTACCCAAAATACAAAACCACTTTAAAAATCATGCTTGCGAGCCTTCGCTGCCGGAGGAAGTGTTACGGGGCTGGACAAAGTCTCTTGAAGCAAACGCGTGGTGTAAGATGACCATCTGGGGCAAATCAGGGGACATGGGGGATTTTTTCATCACATTTTCCTACCACTTCCAAATCAGAAACCTGAATCAGTCTGATTCAGTTGTGAAAGTAACAGCTCCATTTATAGAAAATACTATGATCTTGGTATGAAATAGTCTTTAGATGGGTCCATTCCACTACCTACCATTTCACGTTTGGCACAGCTTCTTCCTCCTCCTGTTATTTTTTCAGTCATCCAAACAGTGCCATTAAAGTTGGGGGTAACTTCAGCAGTTTTCAACCAGGAAATTTCAATAGAGATTTAGTAAGACCTATTCTCTTGATACTGCTTTATGATACTATTACATTAAAATGTCATAAAACAACAAGAACAAACAGAATGTGTGTCTGCATTTGTATTCCAGCTACACTGTGCAGGAATCCTTGTCTCCTTTTCACAATTATCTTTTTAGAAACCTTCCTTTTCTCTGCATGCAAGAGATGCCTCTCTCAGTTACAATGTCATCTTCCCAGACATGGGCTGGGTAGAATATTCTGTAAATGATTTCCAACTATAGCTACATTAAGGCTGAGCTCTGAAAAATGTTGGGCACTGTGATCTTGAGCCAGCAAAATACTTGTGCATATATTCTTTGGAATATTTCCACTATATGCAATGACAGACTTACTAAAATTACAATCATTGCTTAGTGAAAGACTTCTATTAATGGAAATAGAAAAACAATTAATCACTCCCTAATTACAGTGACAAATATTTTATTCCTTGTAGTGCTGTCTCTCTTGTTAACCATTTCACTTAATTTTGAACCTGCTCTTCAAAATAGATTTAGATCCCCCTTTAAAAAGAAATAATAATATAAAGAAAGTCCTAAAAAGTAAAAGCAATGTCATAAAATCCTTTGCAATCTTTTTTTTTTTTTTTTTGCATTTGCATTTGCTATGGAAAGCAAACAAGATTCGTAACACAGAAAAATCTTCCATAAATAGTATTTACGTTATTCAGACTTTCAAAGTGGCACCTCATTGTGTGCAAACAACAACCTCTGTCCTTCAGATACTTCTACAGGGATCTCCATTACTTCAAACACAATTTGAGCTGCCTAAAAAACCTGTAGCTTAATAGCTCATTAATAAAATATCATAGACCTCCCATAATCTTTATGGGCTTCAATCACTATGAATTTTTTTTGAAGGAGAGAAATACATTAAATGAAATGTACAAACATACATATACAACCCTATATATAAATACATAAGTATGTATAAAATGAGATTAGGATTATGAAAACTTGACCAGGTTTAAACCATGCTACATAGATTGGAAAGAATATCCGATACATTTACCATGTATTACTTATTGTTTTACTTATTTGAAAACATTTACTGTGTTTATGCTTTGAAAAGCACCTGCAGCAGCACAACAGGCAGCGTTAGGACAGGCTTCTTTCTGAACACCGCAACCGAGCCAAGCGCCAGGAAAGCAGGAGGGGAGCAGAATGAAGACACTAACTCTAAAGGTTATTTAGGGGAATGTATTTGGAAGGCTACAATTTTATCTTTGTAAATACTCAACCCTGTTAGAACAATTTCAAGTTTGAATTGTTTAGGGGGAAGCAACCCTGACTTCTAGTGTTTTTGAATGTGGTAGCAAAGCTCTCCAAAAGATGAGGAGAAGAAACTAGTGCACGTGAGGAACAAATGAAGCAGTTTGAAAAAAATCGCTCTCTTGCTCTAAATTATGACTGCGTACATGAACTAAACCAAAACCTCCCCAAAACCATACAGGAGTAGAGATCCTTGCTACATACTAAAACAAGTGCAACCTCAGATTTGAATGTCTCGAACTATCACCTTTTTCTCTCCTTTTTTTAATTTTAGCAGCTGTCTAAAAAGCCATGGGGGTAATTTTACAAAGTATAAATTGTACTGCTACTGTAGTTCCCCTCAAAAATACATTTGAGTTCTGAAATTTCCAAACCCATATTACCCTAATATGACTTTTAGGGAGTCTTGGAAAAGTAGCAGCAA